GGTAGCTTCCGCGCCAGCAAGATAGGGCTCAGCTAAAGCAATACTAAGCGAGAAAAGCCCTTTCTATCTTCTTAGTCATAGTCAAGCAAGTTTTCGCCTTTATTGAGGTAAACAAGCTTACTAATAAAGTGGCAACAAGCACCTTCTTTCTCAAAGTAAACTTTCTCCCTTCTTGTTTTTGTTTTCAATAAGGCTCGCGCAGGGGCGCTCACCTTTTTTGGCTCCTTCCCGGCCCGGAAGTTCGCTTCTGACGACTAGCTTCTACCGCTAGTGCTTGGACTTGGAAGCAAGCTAAAGCTACCTTGAATCAAATCAATCAATGAATGAAAAAAACCGCTTACCGAGAAATACAAAGGAAGGACAAGTTGGTTTGAGGACCCGTTGGTCAAAGGAAAGGGGGGTCCTGATTCCGGGACGGAGCCGTATGACGCGAGAGTCTCACGTACGGTTCCTTTGAGAAGGGTGTGATACCACCACCTATCAGGCCCGACGAGCGGTCCACGGAGCTGCATCCCTACTCACCTGGTCCATGCACATCGCTCTCTCCAGGAGGTTGGCCGCCTATCCTAGATCTTCCCATTTCAAATAAGATCCCGGGCTCGATCCGGTTTAGTATCAAGGTGATTCTTTTTCTGTTCCTATATATATGGGTTCGTGCAACATTTCCATGATATCGTTATGATCAATTAATGGGACTTGTCCGGAAAGTGTTCTTGCCTCTATCATTAGCTCGGGTAGTCCCCGTTTCTAGTGTTTTAGTCACCTTTCAATGGCTCCCTTAATTATGTGCGAGGAATTGCCCTATTGAGTAATGGGAAGCGGGCTACTCCCCGAAAATACCCCGCCCCTAGGTTCATTTGTCGTTGGGGCTAAAAATCTTCCTTGCTCGTTCCTAGTTCTTTTATTCCATTATTTTGGATCACCGTATTATTTCACTCACTGAGTTCTGTAATTCATTTCTCTTTTCTGAATAGTTGGTTGTGTTGGATGATTGATGGGTAGTCTTAGATTTAGGTTCTTTTTTAAAATATGCACAAATCTTTTTAGGTTAGGTGATGTAAGCTTCATTTACAATTTTTCGGCTTTTTTCGAGCTTCAAAAAGGCTTGAATTATTATTTCTCCGTTCAGGTTTTCTTCATTTATTGTTCCATTTCATCTATGCGGTGTGATTTCTGGCTTCTGTTATATTTTTATATTTCTTTCTTTTCTTTTTCTTCCTTTCTATTGAAAAGGAGTCCGCTTTCTTCGCACTCATGAAAACAACCTGAAGCTGGAGGGACCAGGAACTAGTGGGAGTGGGAGCCAAAATAGGGAAAGAGCACTGGAAGTCACAGTAGCAGGCATCATATTAAGTTTGGCGCTAACGGAATCCATTTCGAGCAAAGGTATTCTCATATCACGGACAAGCCGGATCATGAAGAAGGGGTAAGTGGGCGGGCAAAAAAGGGTTAGTTCAGTTTGAAATCGACGATTCGTTCCGTTTTTTCAAAGAAAAAGGGGTAGTTAAGAGCATCAATTTCGCCTTTTATATCTTATAGAAAAGAGAGGAAGTCTAGCGCCAGTCCTAAAAGGAAGATGCTTTGGGGCATTCGGTAACTACCTAGTATGCTCTACTCTCTCCCGCCTTTAAGGACTCACGGCAGGAGAGCGATGAGTCCGTTCCCTCACTCCCACTAAAAGAAAACTCAATGCAAAACTGCTCAGGACCCATCCTCCAATGGGGCCCTTCTCTCAATTGTCGATCCTAACAGGGAGCTACACTTTTTTTAGCGTAAGTAGAATTAACATAAGTAGTTTAAGTAGTAGCGCGTTACCACCCTGAAAATAAAATCCTAGGGGGGGATCCTTTATTCTCAATCAAGATGCCTCAACTGGGGAAATTCACTTCCAAATTGATGTCGGAGGGTTTTTCCTCTTCTCTTAAGAATTTATCTAATAGGAACAGGCTAAACAAAAAGAAAAGGGGCTGTTTTTCGTCGGAATAGGGGCCTGTTGACACAATTACATTTCTTTCTCCCTATTTTTCCCATGTATTTCTTGGAAAAACCAAGGCAGTTGAATTGAATCAACAAGTCTCCAGACTGATTTACTGGAGCAGGAGAAGTCACATCACTGAATCAAGATGCCACTAACTTTATTCCTTACGCTTTTTCCGATGTTCGGGTCGGCTTTCTTTGTCGGATGTTTTATAGGAACGGACAGCTGCCCCATAATTTCCACCATCATCGCTTTATTATTACTTTTGGTCACTTTAATACTGGTTTATATAATTTGAGTTTCCAAAGGGAAGAAGAGTTCTTTTCTTTTCTTCGTCATTCTCATTCTAATTTACGTATTCTGTACTTTTGCTAGATATTTGTGTTTTTCTTTGCTGGCAGGAATGACAAGCGCTTGCATTTGGCAAGTATCTTCCGAAAGTGGAAATGAAAGTAGTCTTCCGGCTTTGGATACTTCCTCGAGCAGTGAATCATTGGCTACGTTTAGAGCCGAAATAGCGGCTGATAACGAAGCTGAGATTTATGCTTGCATACGGAGTCTCCAGAGCTGTGATTACTACAACCTTCCTCCCCAGAATAATCCCGGGGAGTATGAGGGGCTTGTTCACAATAACTTCGAGCAAGCTATTGATGTGCCCCATTATAGGGCCATACTTGATAGAGAATATTTTGAACTCACAGTATTAGAAAGAAAGGGTCTATTACAAGATAGGCTCTTCGATCTTATGTTTGGTGAGCAAAAGATTTATCGTATCATGGAACTTTCGCCATATACGAATATAAGAGTTGAGGCGTACGACTTCCTTGAGGGTAAGGTGGAGCCGGTGAGCTCTTTGCAACATTCCTTCCAACGGGATATCATGGACGGGAGTCTGAATTTCTTTATTCAGGATATAAACCAAAGCGGTAGAAATTCACAAATATACCGTGAATTCTACTCCCACTTTACCGATGAGGGATTCCTCCTCAAGCGGTAGAAGGTCACGCTTTCTTTTTGGATCAGACCGCTCTTGGTCTTCGAACTAGTCATTAATGGTCGGCTTCATTGGTACCCTTTTGGTATGCGTTGCGAACACTTTCATTTTTAGCGTCTCATCTTCTCTATAGAAGCAAAACTCGAACGGATAGAACAGATGGTCCAAATACAAAACTTTTTCTTTTTCATTACTTCCATGGTCGTGCCTCGTGGCACGGCAACACCCGTACTATTGAAATGGTTCGTCAGTAGAGATGTTCCCACAGGTACCCCTTCTTCTAATGGTACTATAAGTCCTATTCCTATGCCTTCATTCCCTCTTTTGGTCTATCTACATTCCAGGAAATTCATACGCTCCACGGACGGAGCAAAAAGCGGAGTCTTGGTCAGAGCAAGCCGACCTATTCTATTACCAGACATAATTGGGGGAAGCTCATCCGAAACTAGAGCTAGAAAGGCCTTATTTCGTTTCGTTCCTGTTCTTCATTTCCTTCTTATCGAAAAAAGGGGGATTTCTCATATTTAGAATCTTTCTGCGGTGTGCTCCGTTTACTATTCTTTCGTACTTTTTTCTCTTTACCACGCGATAGGTCAGCGAAGCGTGAGCGGGCGCGGAGAAGGAAAGGCCAAAGACTTCAGCCTAACGGGAATGAGCAAGGACGAAATGACAAGATGAAGCGCCCTGGGCACCCCCATTTAGAAAGAAGGGCCGAAGTTTTTGGGCCTGTAGCTTTACCCGTCCCCCCTGAGTCGAGCGGTGCTTGTGTGGGGGGTGCACCGCCAGAAATCGGGCTTGAAGCTCTCACCTTACCAACGAGCCGATAGCTGATGGCTGTTGGTCGCGACTACTACAAAAAAGCCCCAATGAAGATGAATATTTCACATGGAGGAGTGTGCATCTTTATGTTGGGTGTTCTTCTGTCGTGCGACCCGGCGGCTTATGTGCGACCTGTGGCCGACGCCTCCTATTTGTTTAGGGCGGGTGGCGTGAACTCTGATTCGATCCGGGTATTCAATCCCGCTGCTGAGATGCTCAGTTGACTCCTTAACCTTGATAGGAAGATGGCTTATTCAATAATTCGTGCATAAGGGTAAGGAACTTTGGATGAACTAATGCGAATGGTGTAAGCCTCGTTGCTCGGAAACACCCAGTGCTGACCACACTGAGAGACACGAAAGCGCAGGTAACGCCAATTGGCGAAGTGGCATTAAGCATCCCTAGCGGTACGAAAAGAGAGGTCGTGATGAAATCATCTACGTCTGTACCGTTCCTCGTGGAGTAGATCCCACATCCAACCAAGTCTTTGACCAGGGAACGGGATAATTCCCACTACCGCTGGCAGGCCAGCCGGGTCGTGAGCACAGTGGGGACGAGCTTCCCAAAAAGCCAGCCCGGGCCGGGGTCAGTATAGAATGAAGGGGACGGCCCTAATGTTGTGTTGGCAAAGCCAACTTCTTGGGTTTCGGGCGGTGAAAAGCGGACGTGGGGACTCGGGTCGGGGCACAGCGTAACTAAGGGATTCCATTTAGGGCGAGACAAAATGGGCGGGCACGGGCGGTCTGGTGTCCGAGCCGATTGGTCAGACGATGACTACTTCACTTATTAGATTAGTATTAGCCGCATGTCCCGGAATGGAATGGGATGGAATAGAAAAAACGGGAAGCGCTACCGGTTCGGTTTTTTTGGGAGGGAGAAGCTTGTGAAGAAGGAAGCTTATCCCCGCCCCGACTGTTAGCTGCTGGCTCTCTCCATCTCTCCTAAACATCCCCCAGGTTTCGGCCCGAGCTGTATGAGGCAGAAACTCGTCCCACGTACGGTTCGGAGGCCGAGCCCCACCCCAGCAGTAAGGGTGCGGCTTAGGTTAACTAACACAAAGAAGATACAGTTCACTCAACGATTGCCTTTGGGTTCCGAACTCCATATGGGGAAGGAGCGTTGTTGTTTGCAAGGTCTCGATTATTTACATGGACCCACTTCTCGTTCAATTTGTGGGAATTTTCTGATCTATAAACCGTCCCTAACTAACGATCGGCTCATGTTTGAGGATGATGAATCACTTCGTGTCGACCTGTTGCCAATAAACTTTCCGGCCTCATATGAGAATGGAAAACTGGAGCATTTTCTGCATCGGTGGATGAAGAATCGCGAACATAAGAATTTCTGGTTGACCATGTTCCCAGAAAAAAGATACTTTCAAGAAACGACGAACACGATTGAAGTTGAACCTGACAGCTCTCACCCTAATTCCTCGTATCACCCACTCACTCCCCATCTCCTTACCCTTCGTCTCCCTTTCAACATCAGCATGCAAAAACGAAAACATCCAAAAACTGAAAAAATCTGGCAATTGGTTCTCGTTCTCGTTCTCGTACAGGTGCAAGGACGACCATTGGGATTTAATTTGCAAGGAGAAGGGAGGACATGGGGATGATGGTCGACGGTGATGGATTATCTCTTACACCTGAGATCCTTCTGAGTTGTAAATCTGTTACACACCAATAGCAAAGAGGAACGAAGGGCGGAAAAAGGTAATTTCCGGCAGCGAAGGTGGTCGACAGCCAGGTATAAGACGGTGTCATGTGGAATCGGTGAATTTATCTGGACGGAGGAATGGGGATTAATGGATCATGACGACCAATACACATTTTCTTATTTTATTTTAGTTTTTTTTTAATTTGTTTTTATTTATTATTTATCATAATAGATAAATAAGGCGAAATATATATAATAAGGGTAATTCGGTCAGTTTATGTCTATCAGGGACTCAACACGTAACAAAAACAAACTATAGGGATGATCCGAGTTCAAAATTCTTCTTAAAGACCAAACGTACAAATTACTCTAAACCATAGGAACCATTCGTGTAATTCACCCCAAATTATATTTGATTTCTGTTTTTTTCTCAAATTTATGCCTACAACACCACCTTTTATATATATATATATATATATATATATATATATATATATATATATATATATATATATATATATATATATATATGAGGTGGTGTTGTAGGTATAAATTTAAGAAAAAAACAAATCAAATATAATTTTTCTTTTTCTATTTTAAATACATTATATTTTTTTAATACACAAACATTTCATGTTATAAAAATGGGTTGACTAAAAAAATATCCCATTTTACCATATAAATATCTTAATTTAATTTTAAAATATTTTTATTGTTTGAATTTGTATTGTTTTTCGAAAAAATCACTTATAAATAATTAATTATAAGTTTATTTTTTAAAAAGCGATGGCTCACTCATCAACAACTAGGCCTCCGTCACGTTCTGTTTCTGAATCAGGTTAGGATACGGCTCTAGAAATATCAAAAAAGTGTTTTATTAACAACACCGTATATAAATTATATTTTTTTTCTAAAATACAAACACTTAATATTAATAAAAAATGGATATAACAACCTAATTTAAATAGAGTTATAAAAGATGAAATTAATAGAAACTACAAGGAGTCAAACAGCAATCCTTAGAACAATGTGAACATTTATTTCCCAATCTACAAATAACAACAACTCCGATCCTACAAGATAGAGAAAAAATGGAGAAATGGAAAGCTAAAAGTAGAGCCAAGGGACAGTGTCCAACGACTTGGTGTAGCGAACGACTCCGTGTAGCCTTAGAGATGGGTTTATATATCTTTCTTGGAGGCGCCATATGAGTGAAACGACATAGATATATATTGAGAGAAACCGGAGAAGAAAAGGGAGAGATTGAAGAAAGCCGGTGGTGGGTGTTTTCCGGGGGGATGGTACGCCAGCAAGTGAAAGGTGAGCCCTTAGCTTCACGCATGACCATCAGGTAGTTCCAGAAGGGTAGTGATGATGTAAGTGGATTATGTGCTTCCCTGTGAAGAAGCATCAGGTCGTAGCTGTGACTATCGTGATATGTCTCCGGTGAAGAAACTCTAGCAGATCTGGATGGAGATGGAGTAGGTTCAACGAGTCTAGCAATGATTCTTGGTAACCAGGAAGAAAATCTTGGTAGAAAGGTTGATGACGATTGACGAGACCCAGATGGTGATAACAGTCTTTAGTTCCAACAAAAGAGAAATGGGTGTGCTTATGATTTGGTTTTCTCGATGCGTGTTTGGGTGAAACTATGGGTCTCTGATGATTGTCATTGGGTGCTTCTAGCATGAGCCAGAGCAAGACAAAGAGATGATGGCAGATCGGCACTGTCGAAGGAGAAGATGGTCGTGGTCCTCGTGGAGTCGGTTACAGGAATTGGAACGCCGCCGTGATGTTCACAGGTACTATTGCATTTTGATTCTTGTTAGGTCAACGAGATTGATTGGGCCAAAGCTTGGATAAGAGCAAACTTTTTTTTTTTTTTTTTTTTTAAATCGAACCGGTTCGGTTCCGATTTATGAATATTAAAACCGGTTTCGTCATTATTAAACTTGAACCTATCTAAACCGGTTATACCGGTTCTAAACCGGTTCAATCGGTTCCAAACCGGTTTGATCGGTTTGACTACCGGTTCTAAACCGGTGGTTTGGTTCTTGAATCGGTTTGGTTCATAGTGAATCGGTTCATGATGAACCGGTTTACCGGTTTTTTTGTGCAAGCCTAGACCCAAGTATTACTAATGGGCTAATGAAAAATCATATGAAATACTAATTATTGAACCGATGAGGTACAACCCGTAGCATTTAGTTTATTTAAATAAATTAGAAAATTTAAGATAACTAGTAGGAATCACCTGCGCCGTTGGCGTCGAGTTAGATCAAGTTTGCGTAAATGTTCTTAGAAAATTTTATAACATCTTGAAAAAGAAAGTTAAAAAGTACAATGCTATAGTAATTATATTTTTTTTTGAAAGATGTTTTAACCTAGAGAAGCAAAAAAAAAAAAAAAAAAATCATGTCCCGAAAGAGAGAAATCTCATCCTTCATTTGTTAGCAAGATGATTCTTATGCAACATTAAGTCTTATCCCAACATTCAAGGGTCCATATCTAGATGTGAAAAAGATAAATCAGTAATTTGTCACTTCTACAACACTTGCAAGAATTTAAAACACAAAAAAAAGTGTTTTAAGATCTTATCCAACTAAAACATGTTTTAAGATTTTATCCAACTTTTGACATATCAGAATAAATCAAAACCAAAGTATGATGGAATGATTATTGTCCCTGCAATTAAATAAACATTCCAATAAAACAAATTTAATTTACATCAGTATAATGTAGATGTAAAGACAACTTTTTTTAAATAAAATTAAAATGAAAGTTAATCCGTTAGAGACCAAACCTGTTTCATATTATAATTTCATAACCCTCTTCGCCTTGCTTCTTTCTGATGCGTTTTTACATGCTACCTACAAGCAACATTGACACAAGCATATGAAGTTAGTTTATTAATAATGACACATGTCAACAGAGAATAGATATATTCTAAGATAATCAATTAATAATGTTGGCTTCTACAATTCCCTAACATGTATCAACCATAACTTCATAAACATTAATTGATATATTTACCAATCGTTTGTACATGTTCTACCGGCGATTAATTTCTGAACGTAAAGAGTCCATTTCCTGTGATGAAGTGGTAAAAAATTAAAATAAATACTTATACTTGAGAAAGGTGAAGGAAAGAAACCAATGGTTCTTTTTTTTTTTTTTTTTTTTTTTTTTGTGATGTATGTTTCGTTTAAACAATTCATCGAACACTTGGCATACGTTGTCAAATAACTATAAATTTACAAACTCAGACAAATGTTCTTACCTTGTTATCTGTGTTATGTGGTGATTACTGTTGTTTGTAGTCCCCTACTAATCAACTCATTTGCAAGAATATGTCATTCATACCTATTTAAAAAAATAAGATGAAAGTAGTTTATAACTTTTTTAAGTTTGAATTGAAGAAGAAAAAAATGGGGTCAAAATAGTCATTTTACTTTGGAGCTAAAGTGCAATGGAACTACGTTTTAGGGACCAACCATGCAAAAAAAATGTAACATCTAGACTGAACACGTAACTTTTGAAAGACCATAGGGACGAAAACCGAGATAATCAGCTAAACTCAAGGACGAAAAGTGTAACTTTTTCTTTACTTTAAAAAAGAAAGCAGCATAGTCCTTGGAGCACTCTCTACTACAAAAACATTGCGTAAATTTCCTTTCACATAAAGGACCCTTACTTATAAAAGTTCTTAGTCTCTTTTAATTCTGCAACAATGACAAATCAAATTAAATATATAGAATGACAAATCAAATTAAATATATAAGTATGCTAGCTGATTTTTTTGTTTTAAAAAACTTTTCAATACTAAATGTTAAAGCTCCATCCAATGATGACATTTTCTGATATTTTCCCATCAGAATACATGAGCAGTTGGTTGGAAATTATGGAAAAAAGAAAGTTATGTACTTACCATCACTTATTCAGATTGGTGGGTTTGTGATTTCTAGAGAGTAAAATTGACTGTGTAAGAGAAGCATGAACCTAAAGAGTTAGATTGATAAACAAAGGTAGCATCGGTGTCTACATCAACAAAGCCTTCAATAAAACCAACTTTCTATTTATAATTAGCATTGACATGATTCCACTAAACAACATTGAATATATAGAAACAGAAACACCCATTAAAAACCATACATAGTAAAAGACAATACATATTTCTATTTGGTTTCCATTCTATACAAATATATAGGAAAAAGCTAAGAAAGTAATGAAAATTAGATAAATAAAGAATTGTAGCTCACCTCAAGTTCATCGACCTCCTAATTAAGCTGATATGCAACCTATAAAAATTCCAAATTAATTAAATAAAGTAAATTAGCAACAACCCAACTCAATAATGTATGAATGGATCATGATATATCAGATTAAGATGATGCATGTATTCAACAAATTAGTATGGCTGTGAAACTCATAAAGGGCTAAAGACTACAAAAGGGATTGTAGTTTGAGAACTGTTATATCATATTAAATCCAGGACAAATACTAAAAAAAATCAACTTATAGGATTACATTCTATGGGATACATGATATTCACAATAATGCTATGTTCTGTCTCATCTTCCTTAAAAGGATGTAAAAACAAATACAACTTTATATATGTAAATATATAAGAAAAATACTAATAAATGCAACTCACATGGTCTCTCGTATGGGTCCATTAATGGTCGCCACATATTCATCTGCATAAATGTGTTGTTTCATTATAGTTGTTTAAGAAAGCATTGGTGCATAGTCATGTACTTGGGCATCCCCAACAGCTACCGATCACCCCATTCCTACAAATTGGCAATAACATTTTCTTATGATACCCAAAAAAATTAAAAGATACATAGTTTTAAAACAACATACCAACATAAAACAATGAAACAGTCATATCTTTAATGTAGCATACTGCATACCAACAAAAAGGATGGAAAGATTGAAAATTTTAATGTGTAATTCCCACAAAAAGAATAAAAAAATGTATTATAAAGTTCATTATTTTAAAGAAAAACTCAATGATTTTAATTTTCTTGAGTCCTTTATCTATGTCCATGTCTAATACTTTTATACTCATCAAATAACTTTTTTATGCAATAAAACTTGAATTTAAGAATGATACTTACACTTTTAAGCGTCGTTACTGTTTATGGTTTAGACTATTTTGGTTTCTTTGGAGTATCATTTATTCCTTAAACATTCACTCTTGCTCAATCTTTTGGGGAATCTGGTTTTCTGGCATGAAGAAACATATAATCCCCCCCCCCCCCATTAATAAATGAACTTTCAACACAATCAAAAGTGGTTGAAAATTGCTTTGTATTTTAATGACATTGCTTTAATGTATTCAAACACAAACCTTTAACTATTTGACTTTTTTTCCTCCCAAATCCTCACGTTAAAACTGATAAATATTGTAAAATTTGTTATTTAAGTGTGAGTTTAAAATGGTCATTTAGTCTCATTTGGAAAGTTTATTCGGTCTATATTTTTTTTATGTATACAATAGTTTATGTTCATAATAAATACTTACATTAGCATAAGCGAGATGATGTATAAAAATGATTGGTGGAGCTAAGATCAGCTCCTCATAGCAGAAACCTGCTTGTTTATACCTATAAATCCACATAAACCCTGATAAGCCCCAGGGGTAAATTTGTCTTTTTTTAATCCACATATAAATTAATGAGACACTAACAATTGCAATGAAACATATATTTCAAAAAGTTCTCTCCAGGCATCATGATCTGCCATGAATCTGGGAAAAAAACCAAACATCAAGAGAGCTCATTGAATTTTATAGTAATTTAGAATAAAAATAAGAGTAAAATTACACGAATGGTCCCTATGCTTTGGGGTAATTTGCATGCTTGGTCCCTAACTTATTTTTTTAACTCGTAAGGTCCCTACTGTTTATTTTTGTTATGCGCTTGGTCCCTACTATTTGTTTTTGTTACACATTTGGTCCCTATCTTACCTAAAAATACTATTATTTAAATAAAAAAATGGTAGGGTATGTAAGGTAAGGTGAAGGGGTGAGATTGAGGTGTGTTTATTTAAATGAATTAAAAAAAAAGGGGAAAATAGTCTTTTTAGGTAAGACATGGACCAAACGCATAACAAAAACAACCAGTAAGGACCTTCCGAGTTAAAAAAATAAATTAGGGACCAAACACGCAAATTACCCTAAACCCTAAGGACCATTCGTGTAATTTACTCTAAAATGTTTGTGATTTTGTTCTTACATCTCAAGATATTTCTTGAGCCAATCAATGGCTGCTAAAATATCTCCACGTGCCTTTGCCATGCCTACCCTTCTCATACTTATAACCTGCAAATGTTTTGGTTTGTTAGAACTTAGAAATGTTATTTTGGTAAGTTAAAGATTGGAGTCTTATTTTTTGTTTTCATAAGATTTATGTTAACAAACTACAGAAATAAAATTGGGTTATATTGTAAGTTTTTATTCCATTACATGATGGAATGAATATCCACAAAATGGAAGGAATAAACGAACAACTTTCTAGTAGTTGTATTGCCCTAACGCAACAACTCAAACAACTCTGAGTGCTCCCAAGACAATGAGATGATAATTCTGTGAATGCATACCTGGATAAGATGAAGCAGCGTGTTACAATTTCTTAAGAGATTACATGGTGGTGGGGAATGAAGAGGAACCTTAGATCAAAAGGTGACATACAGGAAGTGAAAAAAAAATGACGAAAAAAATCAGAAATACCCATATTCTAATAATTGGTTGTTGCCCAGATTAAAGAAAGTGTGTTACTACATTGAGCATAAACTTAAATTCAGTGTCCCTCATTCTCGGTGTGACTTATCACAGTCCCGACCATCTGCTGAATCTACCCGTGAACCAGAATCTTCCATATATGTGTGCGTTCAGTTCGATTTCGTCCAGGTACATGCGCTTTTAACAACAAAATCTTCCAATCACTTCAAAAAACCCAGTTCACAAATACTTTTATTTCAAGAAAGATTTTTGTATTCGAAGAGTTGGAGTTGAATTTGTAAGAATCGGTACCTATTATAGAGACAATAACCTCTATGTTAAGGTCTTCGAAGTGTAGGGTTTTCGATAGCCCAGTGGAGGTATGATTACAGAGTACCTGTGGTCCTGGTGCGATACAGCTTCGATGGTTCCACGCTGGCAGCTAATTCCGGAGCTTCAGAAAAAAACATCAACATGGAGAGTGGAATCTAAGAAACAAAGTCGATTTTGTATTCAATCAAACAGTTGGAGTTTGAAAGTCATAATAGAACACTTACAAAAGGAATCGTCGTCGTTTGCTGTGCCGGGTAGGTGGCAGAGGCAGAGTCACCGACGGAGGCTGTGGCAGGGCCAATGTCGCCAGAGATGATTATGGCTGAAACCGGAGATGAAGGGTTGAAGTCGGCAATGGTGGTCTATTCCAGTCGATGTCAATTTTTAGGGAAAATTATTGAGGGAATCTTTCACGACCGTTTCCCTGGTCGATTGGTAAACTCTCATAGTAGATGTTGGTACAAAAGGGACCATCGGAGTGGTGCAAGAAAGAGGAGTGTCAGAAATCACAAGAGACATGAAAGGCTTTCCTGATGAAATTGGGAGCAAATTGAGATAAGAAGAAAGAGGCGAAGTCAAAGTCTTTCTTGATGAAATTGTACTCGTTTACTATGATCGAATATATCTTTTAGCACCCAAATCACTATGTTCATTATGCAAACTTTAATTCCGCATGCCAAACCATGTTCTTATGTCACTACACGGTTACATGCACTATTTAACTTAGGCATAGTAATTGATACATTAAAATTTTAGAGATTTACGAATCATAAGGAAAAACATAAGTGTCGGCAACAAATTACATGAATAAATAAATAATAAATAAGTAAATATTAACAACCCTATTTTATTTGTATAGATGAATACCTGGAGAAACATGAAAGGAGTCTCATGCTCACGCTCTAATCTGGTTGGGGATCCCTAGTACCTCGACCAAGAAACAAGATATAAACTCATTACGTCGGGAGACTCTTAGAGGATGAAGAACCTATGGAAGACTTATTAGAAGAAGAGGAAATGGAAGAAGAGAAACTCAACTCGGATGATGATAATGAAACCACAAAAGACAGTGAACCTATGGAAGCCGAAGCAGCCCCTCCTTTCAGGTCTTCACCCCAAGTCCTTACAGGAGAATTCTAAAGAGGGTCGGGAAAACCCGTCAGACCGCCAGAAAATCTACGCTCAACCACAAGAGAATTCAGAAGCACGACCATGGGCTATCTGAGAGTATGAGGAGGAACTTAAGAAATCTCACTTGGTTGATTGTGTTTGCTGAAGATAGAATTTCGGGTGGGAGAATCACCTCCCGATACGAAGACGGACAGAGCTTGGGAGTGCGTCCTCCGCCCGGTGATTATGCTTGATCTTTGAGAGGATTGTTTGACCGAACCTTGAAACTGGAGAAGCAAGACAGGGCATCGGCAAAGGGAATCAAGGAAGGAGAGAACAACACAAATCACGTAGCCTGGAGAGTAGGAAGACTGGAGAGCCAGCTGACCCAACATCAGAATACACTGACAGGATGCGTGGGTTACTTAACACGGAGATTCTTGCTAGGATGCAACAGGATACCCACATGGTTGAGGCCGATATTCAAGCTCAAGCAACTCTTATCAGGATGGAAGTCAGTGAGGAAGAGATAATGGCCATTAATGGGAGGCTAGATGCGATCAGAGTGAACTTGGGAAAATCACAAGGGCATTGGGCACTTACTTGCAACGTGGATGATTACAAGGAGTCAGACAGTGGCGGGGGGGATGAGAGCAGATGCAGTTGTAGAAGAACATATAGGATTATATATTAAGTATGTAATGTTTGGTATTATCGTGGTTTTGTAAAAGTATGGTATAGTAGGGTACGAAACTCCTTGCGAATTTTGGGTCTTCTGACCATTGATGTAATAGGTAGTAGAACTTTTGTTTACCAAAAACCTTACGAAAGTTATCATAATGACATGTTTAATGCCACTATGTATGATATATAGATGCATACTATGCATATTTTCTTCGGTGTCAATTTAATGTGTAATTTTTATAATTAGTAAATTCCACGAATAATGCAATAAGTTTTATCAAAAGAACAGGCGGGAGACCCAGGAGGGTACAATCCAGGCTAATCGAAATACCCATCACACGTGAAGCTGGTTCGCCTACAACCACGGTAGAGTTAGAAAAATTGATAGCAGATTGACTTGTGGTAGCTTTGGCACAACCAGAAAATGTTCACAACACCATCTCTGGAGCGGGTAACGGTGGAAATAGTAACGGACAAGACAACAACTCTTTAGGAGATATTTAGAGGACCATAATGAACATGTAGCTATAAAGATTTCACTAGCTGCAAACCCAATAACTTTTATGGGACTGAAGGCATTATTGCACTGACCAGGTGGATCGAAAAGATGGATTCCGTCTTCTAAATATGTTTCTGTCCTGATGATAGTAAAGTCCGATTTGATGTGAGTACGTTTATGGACTCAGCTCTTACTTGGTGAAATAACTAAGTAAAAACCAAGGCCATTATTCTTGCAAACTTTCTATCGTGGGAAGAACTGAAAATGATGATAAAGGAAGAATATTGCACGAGAGATGAGATTCAAGCGATGGAGCAAGAATTATGGAATTTGAAGATGAAAGGTCTTGACATCAAAGCTTATACGACCAGGTTCAACGACCTTGCACTATTATGCCCGACTCTAGTAACCCCAGAATACAAGAAGATAGAGTGTTATGTTTGGGGTCTGGTGCTACAAATAAGAGGAATAGTGTTGGGATCACAATCAACAACTTATGAAAGTGTCAGGAACTTGGCAAGCTGTTTAGTCAAGAACGAACTCAGTCGAGGAACAACAAATACTAAGGTTGAAACACCCAAAACTGAAAATAACAAGCGCAAGACGAGAGGTAAGGATTCTTTGCAATCGTCAAGGAAGAAATAAGGAACTGGATACGCGGTAAGTACGACAACCAATCCAGCACCAGTTCATCGAACAAGCAAAATTGGATGATACCCTCAATGCAAGTAAGAGCTGAGTCCATAAACGTACTCACAACGAATCAGATTTTACTATCATCGAGACAGAAAAATATTTGAAAGACGGAGTCCATCTTTTCGATCCACCTGATTAGTCTGATATTGCCTGCAGTCCCATAAAAGTTATTGGGTTTGCAGTTAGTGAAATCTTTATAGCTACACGTTCGTTGTGGTTCTCTAATTTCTCCTTGAGAGCTACTACCTTGTCTGTTACCATTTCCACCGTTACCCACTCTAGAGATGGCGTTGCGAACATTTTCTGGTTGTGTCAGAGCAACCGCAAGTCGATCTGCTATCAATTGTTCTAACTCTACCGTGGTTGTAGGTAGACCGGCTTCAGGTGTGATGGGTATTTCGGTTGGCCTGGATTGTACCTTCTTGGGTCTCTCACCTGTTCTTTCGGGAATAGCCGTCAGGTTAGGTTCCATCCTTGTGCTTCTTCTTTGTGACATGTTGCTTAACTCCCTATTATATTTAACAATAGAATCTTAGTTGATCGTACTATGCTATATTAAAATTTTCAGTATCACTTTTTCACTTTTCAATAAAACTTATTGCATTATTCGTGGAATTTACTAATTATAAAATTTACACAATAAATTGACACCGAAGAAAGTATGCATAGTATGCATCAATATATTATACATAGTGGCATTAAACATATCATTATGATAACTTTCGTAAGGTTTTTGGGAAACAAAAGTTCTACTAGCTATTACATCAATGGTCAGAAGACCCAAAATTCGCAAGGAGTTTCGTACCCTACTATACCATACTTTCCCAAAACCACGATAATACCAAACATTACATACTTAATATGTAATCCTATATGTTCTACTACTGCATCTGCCCCCATCCCCGCCACTATCTAACTCCTCGTACTCATCTACGTTGCAAGTAATTGCCTAATGCCCTTGTGATTTTCCCAAGTTGCACTCCGATCGCATCCAACCTCCAATTAATGACCATTATTTCCTCCTTACTGACTCCGACCCTGATAAGAATTACTTGAGCTTGAAGATCAGCCTCAACCATGTGGGTATCCTGTTGCATCCTAGCAGCAATCTCCGTGTTGAGTAACCCATACATCCTATCAGTGTATTCTGATGTTGGGTCAGTTGGGTCTCTAATCTTCCTACTCTCCAGGCTACGTGAGTTGTGTTGTTCTCTCCTTCTTTGATTTCCCTTGCCGATACCCTGGCTGGCTTCTCAAGTTTGAAGGTTCGGTCGAACAATACTCTCAAAGATCCAACATAATCACCGGGCGGAGGATGCACTCCCGAGCTCTGCCCGTCTTCGTATCGGGTGGTGATTCTCCCACCCGAAATTCTATCTTCAGCAAACACAATCAACCAAGTGGGATTTATTAAGTTCTTTCTCATATTCTCAAATAGCCCATGACGTGATTTTGAATTCTCTTGTGGTTGAGCGTGGTTTTTCTGGTGGTCTGACGGGTTTTCCCGACCCTTTTTAGAATGCTCCTGTAAGGACTCGGAGGTGAAGGCCTGAAAGGAGGGGCTGCTTAGGCTTCCATAGGTTCACTGTATTTTGTGGTTTCATTATCTTCATCTGCGTCGGGTTTCTCTTCTTCCAATTCCTTTCCTTATAATGAGTCTTCCATAGGTTCTTCATCCTCTACAGAGTCTCCTGACGCGATGAGTTTATATCTTGTTTCTTGATCGGGGTAGTAGGGATCCCCGACCAGATGAGGGTGTGTGCATGAGACTCCTTTCATATTTCTCCAGGTATTCATGTATAAAAATAAAATAAGGTTTTTAATATTTACTTGTTTATTATTTATTTATTCATGTAATTTGTTGCCGACACCCATGTTTTTCCTTATGATTCGTACAAACCACATGATGGAACCTATGTGAATCTATCCAAGCACAAGAATGTGCGGTGCCAACTTTCTTCCATTTTTAAATTTCTTTACTCCTACACATCTAACTCACACCTACAATATGTCCCACCAAGTTTTGCATGTGTGAGGAGTCATAATACCACCTGAATCCACAAGCAAGTTCAATTTGTACCAAATGACATCAGCTATATCCCACCCCTATTCATATATACCTAACCTCTTATTCAAGGATACATTTAGCTCACATTCAGGAACTTCAGTTGTGAGAGTTAGAGAACTATTAAAATGGTCCTACCAAACCTCTCAAATTGATCACTTCAGTACAACTATATCATATAAAGATCTGAGGAGTTATAATCAATAAGGCTGCATTCAACCATTCAAGACTCCACCTCACTCATCATCCTTCCTCTCTATCTCTCTCTCTCGGCTACAAGCTCACAAATACCACACGTGCTTAATAACTATGGAAACTACTTCACAGATACTTCAATATCTTCCTTGATCTGCATTTGTACATTTGTGCAATGAACCATGTGAAGAAAACCTGATCAAATATCTCAGGGATGATAAATTCCCTCATCCATCACCTCACTCCTCACGATTTTCCTAAGCTACACATACACACACTCACATATTCAGCACTTGCACAAAATCTTGCATATATTGCAACATTGTACAACCATATATCTTAGTAAATTCACAGCTGTACAATGAGATTTAGAGAAGATTGATCAACTACTTATCCCACCATTGAACTCATCTAAAGTTATCACTCACCATGCCTTCCATTCTCTCTATTCTCTCTCTCAACCTCTCTCATATTCCCTCCTGATCACCAAAAGATAACCCAACAACCGAGGTTGTTGCCTTCTCCAATCCAGTCCCTCTTTTGCATGCTACATGCGATAATAAGTTGACCTAATCACCACCAAACCACCACCATGGCCATTTATAGCAACCCCGACCCTAAGCAAACCCAATTGGCACAATCCACCGGAGGAGAAGAAACAACGACCATCACCTTGTTCCTTCCTGTCTGCATCTCATTTTGACCCTCAAATAGTTTCCAATCGTTTTTCAATACTCTTCCATCGATCTCAGGTAACTTCCTTTCTTCCCTGATCAAAACACGTTCAACAACCACCATGAACAGTCGGTACCTGCCATGGAGGTTGCTGGTTTGAATAGTTTCCGACGAGACGATCTCGGTGACGGGTTTGGTCCTAATCAGACGTGTACAGCTCTTGACTCTCTTGTTTTTTTTTGCCATGTGATGTGTAGGTCGACTCCAATATAATATCTTCCCCTGAAACGTGGTATAACATTTAGGTCTAAAAATCATCAATTACATCTTACATTTTATTATTATACAAAAAGTTATAAATATTAGGGAATATGTTTAAAAATGGGATTAATGTCCTAGATTTATCTTAACCATACTCAGATGGTAAAAAGAAAGGGTAGTGTAGTAATAAAAAAGTCAACAGAGGTCAAAATGAATATACATGTATTATTTTGTTAGTTGTTATAATAATAAAAAAAAAGGTTTCAGTACATCGATATGTAGTATTGACTCAAAAATGTCAATTATAGTAATTTTATAAGTAATAAAGTAATGTATATACTAATCTATGAATACGGAAATATTCGTTATATAAGTTAGTTCATCAAGTTCCGGATTTAAAAATCTTTATGAGTAGCATTATTAAACAATAATTGTATCATATGAAAAGTTGGTAAAGAAAAAAAAACACTCGTATGTTTATTCAAGTATTGCTACAACAAATACCAACTTTATCAAAAATCTACTATAAGGTTTTTTTGCCACATGTCTTATTCTCATTCATTTGAACACATGATATTTTTTTAGAATTTTTAAATTTTCTATTTTCCACTTGTTATTT